GCATCATGACAGTGTCTTATAATCAGGAGCTTCTTCCTCCTTGTCATGTTGATATCGTTGGTAACATATCTCCGTGCAGTGTTCCTAATTACGACAGTGGCCGCTGGTGTCAATACATGGCATCAGCGACAGTGTCATATAATCCAGAGTTTTCTTCTTCCCGTCAGCGTTTAAACCGTTGGCAGCGACATCTCTGTGTGTCCCTACTCACGACACATGGCTGCCGGTGTCATAACATGGCATCATGACAGTGTCTTTATAACTTAGAGCTTTCTTCTCTCCCGTCATGTTGATATCGTTGGTACATATCTCTGTGTGTTCCTACTCACGACATGTGGCCGCCGGTGTCATAACATGGCATCATGACAGTGTCTTATAACTAGAGCTTTCTCCCCGTCATGTTGATATCGTTGGTACATATCTCCGTGTGTTTCCTACTCACCACCATGGCCGCCGGTGTCATAACATGGCATCATGACAGTGTCTTATAACTAGAGCTTTCTTTCTCTATCGTTGGTACATATCTCCGTGTGTTCCTACTCACCACCATGGCCGCCGGTGTCATAACATGGCATCATGACAGTGTCTTATAACTAGAGCTTTCTTCTCCCCGTCATGTTGATATCGTTGGTACATATCTCTGTGTGTTCCTACTCACCACCATGGCCGCCGGTGTCATAACATGGCATCATGACAGTGTCTTATAACTAGAGCTTTCTTCTCCCCGTCATGTTGATATCGTTGGTACATATCTCCGTGTGTTCCTACTCACCACCATGGCCGCCGGTGTCATAACACGATGTCACGACAGTGCTTCGACAATCATCGCTTTTTTCTCCTCAGTCATGTTGATGTCGCTGCCCACTACAAGCCTCATGCTGACAGTGTTTACATATGCACCATACACCCCAAATATCGGCCACAAGGGCTGACTGGAGTCTACATTGTCTAACGTCGACATCACCTTGTTCTCCTTCACATCAATGAAGACAATCTTCTTCCTGGCGTCATCATAGACAACACCGTAGTGTAGTGTGTGTGATGCCCCTGCTGTGTTGGGGATGGTGTCAGGTAGATGTAACACAACCTTTCCCTCCTTCCAGGTTATCCTGCATATCCCTTTGTGAGTAGTACAGTGGACGACGATCAAACTGTAGGCATGGGGACGACGGGCTACGTAGTGAGTCATGTCCATCTCTCCCTCAGCACAGACACCAACCTCCAGGATGAGATTGCCCCCTGGGAGTGTTTTGTCCAGTCCGACCCTGGTCTCCGTCTCCCAGTACTGGGGACAATCAGCCAAGGGGAGGGGGATAGTGCTGCATGTGCCCCCGTAGTTCGTCAGTCTCCCTTCCCCTGCAGACCTGGTGTCAGACTTGCTGTTGATCAAGTCCCCCTCTGTGTTGATGTGGGTGCGGTCAAGGTTAATTTTATCTGTGTCATACTTCAGATGTATACCTACAACACATAAACGTGGATTAGATGCTCATGTTGTCAATCACTGGGTTGTCTGAATAATTTCAAACCGCCGTCACATATCTGGAATATTGCTGAATGCAACGTTAAACAACAAACAAACGAGTAAAAGATAATCTTAAGAACAAAAATGATAAAAAACACAACAACGTGAAGGTCAGATTTGATCACTGATTGTTATGTACAGGCCATAAAACTACCGTATCCCGTGATGGGATTCAAACCATGGACCTTTTGATTGGAAGTCGGATGGCTCGTCCACATGGCCACAGGAAGCTGACAAAGCGAAAATGTCATATGTATATCATTTCACGCCCTGTCACATAAACATCGTATCTACTGAGTGTAACATTCTGAAAGAAGGTACAATAAGTGACCAGTCCAGCAAACACTAATCAGGTGTCACCGATTCAGAAGACAAATTCTCTCTAGGATGATGTTGCTGTATCCCAAATATAGTCAGCATTGACATCGGGATCAGAATTTGTGTTCAGCAAACTATGCATGTCGTAAGAGAAAACTAACGGAATCGGGTGGTCAGGCTCGCTTGGTTGCCACATGTCATCGTATCACAATTGCGTAGATGGATGCTCATGCTGTCCATCTCTGGATTGTCTGGTCCAGACTCGAGTATTTGCAGACCGCCGCCATATAGCTGGAATATTGCCGATTGCGCCGTTAAACAACAAACAAACAAACACTTTGTACGTCGATCATTAGCCAAACAGTTGTTCCAAAACATTCTACTACAGAATACACTGGGTGGCTAATGTAGCCAAGCCCCCCAAATCACCTCCATGATGTGACAATAGGTTCGGAGGCTGTAGTGTAAGCATAGATGGTAAATGGGTAGATTATGAACGTACACTTCAGCACCATCGACTTGTCCAAGGCGTCTGGTTTCAGCAGGTGAACATCGCATTCACTGAGCAGCCCTGCAACATCAACATTGCCATCACTTTGATAAAACAACATTTTCATATCTTGTAGTGAATGTCAATAATAAACCCAACACACAGGCCAACATTTTAGTGTTAGAACCTGACTCAGTTATCTGAACGAAGAAAGTAAAGGAACAAAGGTGACTGGACTTTACCAAGCAGGAAATGGATGGTTTCTGAGGCTCTCTTCACGATGTTTTCGTTCTCATCGATGCTCTGAAAAGATAACCCTTAATCAGACTTAATTGTCTGTAAGTATGTATGTCGGGACATATGGGGAGGTAGGTGATAGGTATGTACAAATATCTAAATATTTTAAACTTAACTCGGAAAAGAACATACAATGTACCGAATATGCCGTATATTTTATCTACTGGCACAGCGATGTTTCTGGATTGTTTTACAATGGTCTGACAACCTTATAACGGCCTACGATGTGTAGTCACTATAAAAGTGTTATCTATAAATTGTGCCCTTTCGTTGTCAACGAATACCTCCAAAATAACTGAATGAGTAAGTCAGTGAGTTTAGCTTTACACATTTTTTAGCAATATTCCAGCAATATCACGACGGGGACACCAGAAATGGACTTCACACATTGTGCCCATGTGGGGAATCGAACCCGGGTCTCCAGCGTGACCCAAAATAACTGAAGTTACCTTGTACTTCTTTTTAATAAAGTGAATGTTTAAAAGCATATCAGTCTCAGATTGTTAATTCTGATATAGCTTGCATGTATTTCGATTTTGGTTTTGTCTCAGTCAATGATCCTCTTCTGTTTTCCGATGTGCTGAATGAATGAATGAATGAATGAATAATTATTCCTTAACAATATTACCCGCATCAGCAATATTACAGCTATTACGCGGCGAGCGATGTGCTGTAGACATTAGATAGGTAATTATGGACATGTACTTCTGAAAACGGATTCAAAATGTTTTAGATCGTTGTCTTACATTTTAATTGGTTCTAGTACATTTAATACTTTGTAGTCATACATACTATCTCATACGCTCTTCTTTAGCGGTTATGGTGCATTATATTATTTTAATTACCAAACTCACGTTCTTATATTTGATTTCCATCTCAGCTATGAAGTCATGTTCAGTTTGAGTTTCCTTGTCTGAAACAACACCATGATGTAAATACACCCTTAAGAATGAATGAATAATTGGTGCTTTACGCCCCATCAGCGATAATGGGACATCCATAAGAAATCTCGACTGTAAAATTCCAACATATTATGAGCAAGTGTTACTGTTTATAAAGTGCGTGCTTTTTAAGTATCTAATACAACTCGGCTGACTAGACAATGGCATTGTGTCAATAACTACCGGTGCTTTAAGTATAATATTAGTTGTTTTTCGAGCAAAAAACTCGAGTTGCCGAGAATGATGTGTCACATGTTATATTTGGGATTACACTTTCTAAAAGTACAAATTCTAGTACATTTTGTTAGGTTGAGTCCAGCCGTGATTTGAACCCACACTCTCAGAGTCAGGCACCCGATCACATAAAGACAGCGATCTAACCTACTCAGCCACCGAGGTTTCCATAGAAATGGAAGTCTGACAACTGGTAGACTACATCATGTACTTTGTGTATCCCTCTGACAAATGTGAATTGACACCGCCCACATAGCCGACAGCTATAAATAGACAATGTCAGTTTGAAGGACGCTTCTTAGTAAATTACGGATTCTAGACCCAAAACAGTCATAGAATCTGTAATTTACTGAGAAAGTGTAGTCCCAAATACAACATAACACTATAGAACGCTGTTCCATTTCTACACGCAATAAAAAATCAACTCTGATCACTTTCTAAATGGCATTGTGTATCCATAAGAATAGTGCATCTGTAAGCACTATAGAACGCTGTTCCACTCCTACACGCAATAAAAAGAACGTGCAATCATATCTCATATAAATACCTCTTGCATATTGTTTTTCCATGTCCTTGGTCACGACAGCCCCAAATCGTGATATGTTTGATTTCAGCTTTGACAAGCCGTTGGTGTTAAAGACAGCTGCGGGTATGTCCTGTGTTTGAGTCTCAACAGTGTCAAGGAAAGCCCGAGTTGCCTCCCTTACAGAACTCTCCAACTCCAGGAGGTCTGATTGTGAGGCATACGTGAGAACCTTGGTGACGTAGTCTAAAACCTCAGAGCATTTCTTCGAAGCTTCTTCACATGTGTTTAGCTGAGTACGGAGACTTGTCTTGGTCGCCTTCGTCTGACCTTCAAGATCAGTCAGAAGTTCCTTCTCTCGTTGGTCAAGTTGTGATCGCAGAGTTCTAAAAGTATGGCCAATATTTTCTTTCAACGTGTTGTGCGTTGTATCTGTGATTTCGGTCCCTCGTCTGATATTCTGAATGTTGGACTGTTGGCGAGCTTGTAAGGTTGCCAGCTCAGTTTTGTGTTGGTCCAGCTGTTTGAGGATACTTTCAGCTACCACATCTACCTTCTCAACTTCATGATCTGCGTGATCTTCAAATCTGCATCTTCCACAAATCAAAATGTTGCATCTCCGATCAAAAAGATAAAGAGAGTCATGGCTGTGGATACTGCAAGGGGTTGGAATGTTTGAGACAGCTGGTTTAAAGTCGCTGAGGTTTTGAAGTACATGTTTTCTGGTCAGTTTGAAGTTGCTGTGCATATTCTGGCAGTATTCACAGAGGAGCTCTTCACACTCCCGACACCAACACACAGCCTGGTTGCCGTCATCTTCGTGTGTACAGAGAAGCTCTGTGGGGCGATGTTTGACTGTCAGATGGAATATTTCCTTCTGTCTCACTGCATCCTTCTGGAGGCTTGTGTCTGTGAGGTTGACCTCCCTCTGACAAGTAGAGCATGATATCACACCACCAGCTGCAGATGTCACACACGTCTCACACACAGCATGTAGACAGGGCAGTAGGTAGGGGGCGGGGCCTTTGAGGACAAACTGCTGATGACAGACAGAGCACTTTGGGAAGATGTCCATTCTGAAAGACAGTAGAATTTAGTGAGTGATCTATACGATATTTCCCAGTAAGATTACAGAATACCGGATACCTTCCGCCATCTTTGAAAGCACGCAAGTTTACTTTTGGTTAGGGTGAGGGTAAGGTTTAGGGTAATGTTTAGCGTTAGGGTGACGTGACACTAAACAGTATGGCTGGTAGGTATCCGATATTCTGTAGGTGTACCTATTTCCCTTTATGGTGACATGGGTAGTTTGCAAACCAACATAAAGTTGTCACCCAAAGAATAGTTAACAAGCATCTCAATGTTTAATTTACACCGAACGTCAAATCGCTTATTTCACGTACTCGTCTACAGATAGATTTCGCGGAGACGCAACAGTAAAATATCAGTTTTTATCAAAGGAGGTTATGGTGACATGCAAGGCCTGATCGACATATTTCTTTCACTTATATTTCACATCCATTGAGGAATGTACCTTAACTCCTACCTTACATTTTGTAAAAGCTTATACCTGATGTTTTGCCAGACAGTTTAACCATTTTATCTGTCCCAACATTGCATTGTACGTTTGTCCAACTATTTTAAATAAGATATGTCACTGTGTCCTCACCACAATGTGTTGTTGAGTTAGACTCTGTTTAGACTAACATCTAGTCTCTGGCATTAACACATTTTGCATGAAAACGGTTTTATATTTATGTTCATAAAATATAATAAAATGTCCAGAGACGCATTGCACTTATAGATAGCAACAACTCATAAAGATTCGGGTTAGAGTTGATGATTTTCAGCAACCCAGATTTGCTGCACGAGGCGACTAACGGATCGGCTGGTCAGGCTCGCTGACACATATCATCCGATCCAAATAGAAAGTCATGATGTTGTACACTGGATTGTCTGGTCCAGACTCAGCTTATTAACAGACCCAGGCCATAAAGTTGAATATCACTGAGGGCAACGTTACACAACAACCCCAGCCAAAACAACAACAATAACAACCAACCAACCAAACAAACATAATCCCCAAAACAACAGCCCATACAAACAAAACACACAACACACAATATCACACACACCAATGAACATTAACAAAAGTAATACATTGCAACGGGCACGCGCATGCACTGTGTATTATTATGACCGAACTTACGTCAGTTCATTTGTGTTGTTCAGTGAGAGGCCAGGCAGAAATTTAAAACAGAAATCTCACCCTGAGTATCATTTTACCAGCCCACTTCCATGTGACCTCTATGTCCCCGAAATACTGGGCGACGCGCGGCATATCAACGTTATCGCCTCAGCATAGTGAGAGATCCACACACATTCTTTTAACTGCAGCATATACCATTACAGGGCAGTATTTTCAACGCGACCACAATAACTATTCTGCAATAATCGATCTTTTCCGTGCTTTTGATATCTTTGCAGAGCAAGCTGGTACGATTTTTTACATAACGTACTTTTAAACCAACACTACACGGTAGAGGCTTGTTTGTCCAGACTGTGACACAAAACACTGTGTCAGGGCGTGAGTCCGCCATCATCGTAGAACGAAAGTAGAAATTTCATGTTGTTACGTATCACAAATAACCAGGTTGTAAACTGTATAACTATTGTATTTGTACCTCCAGCAGTAACAACGTTGCATCGTGAAATATACTAGCAAATGTTTGACCAGACAGATAACCGTGTACTGGCCTGCGAGATAAGAGACAGTTACAACACACCTACCTGACAAATAACTTCCTTCTGTGGTACAAAGGTCACTTCCGGCAGATGACACGTGACTAACATACTTTGAAGTGTAATCTATCTAGTGCATGTTTACATTGTTATTGCCTGACTACACATCCGCGCTGTTCATGTGTAGAGACACATGACAACAAGTGGGGGTATTGGGGCGTATATCTGGTGAATGAAACACAGCGTGTCTAATGTGTGTGTATCGTTCATCGTTGTGTGCAAACAAACAGGTATAAAAGGTACTCAATATGACCATTTCCCCAACCATCTTGTTCCCACACAAGGGGGCGGTGGGGTAGCCTAGGGGTTAAAGCGTTCGGTCCTTACTCTGAAGACCCGGGCACGATTCCTCATATAGGTACAATGTGTGAAGGCCATTCCTAGTGTCCCCCGCGTGATATTGCTGAAAAGTTGCTAAAATCTCACTCACTTAATAATCATCACTCGCTTAGATTCCCGGCATTAGGTTTACTACAGAAAAATTCCTTAAACATCCAAATCCAATACCTAATGACCAACACACAAAGGCAGCCATCTAACCCGCTCACAAAAAGTCTGACAACTGATAGTCTAGACCACGGACTTTGTGTAACCCTCTGACAAGTGTAAATTGGCATGGCTATTGCGGCCAAAAAACTATGAATAGCCATTGCCATTTAGAAAGTTCGTCAAAAGTACTAGAATATGTCCTTTACGGAAAACGTAATCCTATACATAACATGTGTAAAATGAAAATGCATTGTGCACGTGAACACCTTTTGTCTCCGTACTTTAAACTGGTGTTGAGGGAAAACTGACATGGCCATTAACAAAGCACAATAAGGGCCCCCTGTGTATGCGATGTAGTAAGTGAGTGTATAGTGTAAACGGGAATGGCTGGGATCGGAAAGCAGGAGTATGTAGTTGGGTTGTGTTTGTTTGTTGTTTAACTCCGCACTCAACACTATTCCAGCTATGTGGAGCAGTCTGTAAATAATGGAGTCTGGACCGGACTGTCCAGTAATCAACTGCACGAACATCAATCTACGTAGTTGGGGAACCGATGACATGTGTCAACCATGTCAGCGGAGTCAGCGAGGTCAGCGTTACACAACAACTCCAGCCAAAACAACAACAATAACAACCAACCAACAGAATACACTTGATGTAAAAAACAATGTTTCCAATTTTTCCCATCATCCCATTGGCGGCCATCTTGGATTTCAAAATGGCCGCCACATTCAATAATGTACTGAACTTTGTCAATGCAGTAATCAGTGTGGAATGAAGAGGCTGACACACTGATGATCTACCAAGCCATCTGTGCATCTCAGCGAAACTCGTGTGACTCTGAACTTGTTTTCTTCTCTCCAGATACTGCATACGTATTAGCCCCTGAAACACGTTGGACCCTTAATTCATGTTGGCCCATCATGTTGGAACCTCCATACGTATTGGCCCTCAAATATGTTGGAACCTCAATACGTATTGGCCCCTGAAGCATATTTGAACGTGCATACGTATTGGTCTCTGAAAAAATGTTAGACCCGTAATACATGTTGGCCCATCAAAACATGTTGGAACCTCCATCCGAATTGGCTCCTGAAACATGTAATAACCTGCATACGTATTGGCCCCTGAAACATGTTGGAACCTCCATACGTATTGGCCCGAGAAACATGTTAGACCCTTAATACACGTTGGCCCATCAAAACATGTTGGAACCTCCATACGAATTGGCCCCTGAAACATGTTAGAACCTGCATACATATAGGCCCCTGAAACATGTTGGACCCTTAATACACGTTGGCCCATCAAAACATGTTGGAACCTCCATACGAATTGGCCCCTGAAACGTAGAAACCTCAATACGTTTTGGCCCCTGAAACATGTTGGACCCTAATTCATTTTGGCCCATCAAAACGTGTTGGAACCTCCATACGTATTGGCCCATGAAACATGTTGGAACCTGCATACGTATTGGCCGATGAAACATGTTGGACCCTTAATACACATTAGCCTATCAAAACATGTTGGAACCTCCATACGAATTGGCCCCTGAAACATGTTGGAACCTCAATACGTTTTGGCCCCTGAAACAAGTTGGACCCTTAATTCATTTTGTCCCATCAAAACATGTTGGAACATCCATACGTATTGGCCCATAAAACATGTTGGAACCTGCATACGTATTGGTCCCTGAAACATTTTGGCCCCTTAATACATGTTGGCCCATCAAAACATGTTGGAACCTCCATATGTATTGGCCCCTGAAACATGTTGGACCCTTAATACATGTTGGCCCATCAAAACATGTTGGAACCTCCATACGAATTGGCCCATGAAATATGTTGGAACCTGCATACGTATTGGCCCCTGAAACACGTTGGACCCTTAATTCATGTTGGCCCATTAAAATATGTTGGAACCTCCATGCGTATTGGCCCCTGAAACATGTTGGAACCTCCATACGTATGGGCCCCTGAAATATGTTGGAACCTGCATACGTATTGGCCCCTGAAACTTGTTGGACCCTTAATACATGTTGACCCATCAAAACATGTTGGAACCTTCATAAGAATTGGCCCCTGAAACATGTTATAACCTGCATACGTATTGGCCCCTGAAACATGATGGAACCTCCATACGTATTGGCCCCTAAAACATGTTAAACCCTTAATACATGTTGGCCCATCAAAACATGTTGGAACCTCCATACGAATTGGCCCCTGAAACATGTTAGAACCTGTATACATATAGGTCCCTGAAACATGTTGGACCCTTAATACACGTTGGCCCATCAAAACATGTTGGAACCTTCATACGAATTGGTCCCTGAAACATGTTAGAACCTGCATACATATAGGCCCCTGAAACATGTTGGACCCTTAATACACGTTGGCCCATCAAAACATGTTGGAACCTCCATACGTATTGGCCCCCTGAAACATGTAGGAACCTCCATACGCATTGGCCCCTGAAACATGTTGGACCCTTAATACATGTTGGCCCATCAATACATGCTGCTCTCTTCAATACATTCCCAACATCACACCTCCGTGGTGTAGTGGTTAGAGCGGCCGCCCGGAGAGCGGAAGGTCGCGGGTTCGATCCCCGACCGCGTCATACCAAAAGACGTTAAAATATGGTACTTGTTGGTCCCTGCGTGGCACTCGGCATTAATGGGTACAACAAGGACTGGTCGGCTCGGAGTCAGTGTAATGTGTCTGAGTGGGGTATTCATGCTTCACTGCGGCATGGTATCTCATTTGGCTAGCACTATAAAACCAGCTTCAGTCTGGGCTAGTACAAGCAGCCGCACCTACACATGCACACGCATGCACGTCGTCACATGAGCGAAATATTCTCCTCACCTCACCTCACAAGCAGACAGTAGGAGATTGCTGCTGAATAGAAAAGATGTGGATAAGCAATAAATACATGAAAACGTCCTGCTGTATTAGATTATACTCAAAGCCAACTTTCATAGACACTTCATATCCAAGCCCTTTTTATTAACTAATTGCATATAATTTCTATTTCTCTTTTCAGGCTTTTATTTTTACCCACAAAAAAAAGAGAGGTTAGATGTGTATACAAGAATAATATAAGCGTAGTAGTGAAAGAGATTATTTACAGGTCTTGTTTTACATGCACATTTCTAGAAGTCCAGATATAATGAATGTCACTAACAAATTCACGTTCATAATTTGTTGTTATAAAGCGTGTTTATACCCACGACATCAAGATATACATAATGTGTACAGTATGGCTGGACTGACTGCGTCACCAACAAATTTCACGTTCATAATTTGTTGTTTTAAAGCGTGTTTATGCCCCCTACATCAAGATATACATAATGTGTACAATATGGCTCGACTGACAGTGTCACTAACACATTTCACGTTCATTACTTGTTGTTTTAAAGCGAGTTTATACCCACGACATCAAGATATACATAATGTGTATGGCTGGACTGACTGTGTCACTAACACATTTCACATTCATAATTTGATGTTGTAAAGCGTGTTTATGGCCCCGACATCAGGCTATACATAATGTGTACAGTACAGCTGGACATCCCTGTGTCCTCTGCGTGAACAATGTGTACAGTATGGCTGGACTCCGTGTCCTCTACGTTAACAATGTGTACAGTGTGGCTGGACTCAGTGTCCTCTACGTTAACAATGTGTACAGTATGGCTGGACTCAGTGTCCTCTACGTTAACAATGTGTACAGTATGGATGGACTCAGTGTCCTCTACGTTAACAGTGTGTACAGTATGGCTGGACTGAGTGTCCTCTACGTTAACAATTTGTAGAAAGCTATTATAATACAAACATTTCAAGTTCTGACAGCAACACGATGAGGAGATTAGTAGTAATCCGGGAGGAGCATCTTGCTTAGACAGGATATAGACTAGTGTCTGTCTGTCTGTCTGTCTGAAGTACCATCATCATAAAATAACCAAAACTTTCTTCTCTGCCATGTTTATGACGCTGTCCACAACGCTTTGTGTTGATCTTCACGACATGGCCGCCGGTGTCATAACATGGCATCATGACAGTGTCTTATAACTAGAGCTTTCTTCTCCTCCGTCATGTTGATATCGTTGGTACATATCTCTGTGTGTTCCTACTCACGACAGTGGCCGCCGGTGTCATAACATGGCATCATGACAGTGTCTTATAACTAGAGCTTTCTTCTCCTCCGTCATGTTGATATCGTTGGTACATATCTCTGTGTGTTCCTACTCACCACCATGGCCGCCGGTGTCATAACATGGCATCATGACAGTGTCTTATAACTAGAGCTTTCTTCTCCCCCTTCATGTTGATATCGTTGGTACATATCTCTGTGTGTTCCTACTCACGACATTGCAGCCGGTGTCATAACATGGCATCATGACAGTGTCTTATAACTAGAGCTTTCTTCTCCCCCGTCATGTTGATATCGTTGGTACATATGTCCGTGTGTTCCTACTCACCACCATGGCCGCCGGTGTCATAACATGGCATCATGACAGTGTCTTATAACTAGAGCTTTCTTCTCCCCCGTCATGTTGATATCGTTGGTACATATCTCCGTGTGTTTGTAAAAAAGATTTGGTTCCCCCATAGTAAAAGTTCCGGCGGAACTTTTCATTCAAACATTTGTTCCTGTAATAGTGCATGCGGAACAATTATTTCGTTCCGCACACACAGAATTTATTCCGGGTAAAGAGGAACTTCCACACACATCATAAAGTGTCTAAAAAGAGGGTTTTGTTTGTTGGGGTGGTCTTAAAAATTGGGGCGTGGGGGGAACGGAAAGGAAAAAAAGATTTTCCTACTGTATTTGTTCCATATGGAACAAATCATGTGGCTATCAAGAAGCAATTATCATGTGTGAAAGTTACTTAATTTTTTTTATGAAAATACATTGTAGATTCCCCAGAATGCGAACCGATGATTCTATATGAATCTTGTGTTAAAAAGAGTTCAGTTATTATGTAACCAAGTTACCTTCATTAATCAGGTTAGAGTCAGTAGCCAGGTTACAGTCGAAATGTAACCAAGTTACAGTCTGTAGCCAGGTTACAGTGAACATGTAACCAAGTTACAGTCAGTCAGTAGCCAGGTTACAGTCATTATGTGACCAAGTTACAGTTAGTAAGTAACCAGGTTACAGTCAACGTGTAACCAAGTTACAGTCAGTCAGTAGCCAGGATACAGTCAACATTTTACCAAGTTAGTCAGTAGCCAGGTTACAGTCAACATGTAACCAAGTTACAGTTAGTCAGTAGCCAGGTTACAGTGAACATGTAACCAAGTTACAATCAGTCAGTAGCCAGGTTACAGTCAACATGTAATCAATTAACAGTCAGTCAGTAGCCAGGTTACAGTCAACATGTAACCAAGTTACAGTTAGTCAGTAGCCAGGTTACAGTCGACATGTAACCAAGTTACAGTCAGTCAGTAGCCAGGTTACAGTCAACATGTAACCAATTAACAGTCAGTCAGTAGCCAGGTTACAGTCAACATGTAACCAAGTTACAGTTAGTCAGTAGCCAGCTTACAGTCAATATGTAGCCAAGTTACAGTCAGTCAGTAGCCAGGTTAGTGAACATGTACCCAAGTTACAGTTAGTCTGTAGCCAGATTACAGTCAACATGTAACCAAGTTACAGTTAGTCAGTAGCCAGGTTACAGTCGACATGTAACCAAGTTACAGTCAGTAGCCAGGTTACAGTCGACATGTAACCAAGTTACAGTTAGTCAGTAGCCAGGTTACAGTCAACATGTAACCAAGTTGAAGTTAGTCAGTAGCCAGGTTACAGTCAACATGTAACCAAGTTGGACGAGTCCATTTTGCATTCAATAATCACTGGAATAGGTTAGGCCTACGGTATTTGTTCCTGTTCTAGGGAATATTTGCCGTATGTGCGGAATTTTTATTCGTGTCATCCATTCTCAATTTCACGGCATTTATTCCGAACCGGAACATTTACTACTCGGAACTAAATCATGTTTACATGTTCCTACTCACCACCATGGCCGCCGGTGTCATAACATGGCATCATGACAGTGTCTTATAACTAGAGTTTTCTTCTCCCCCATCATGTTGATATCGTTGGTACATATCTCCGTGTGTTCCTACTCACGACAGTGGCCGCCGGTGTCGTAACATGGAATCATGACAGTGTCTTATAACTGGAGCTTTCTTCTCCTCCGTCATGTTGATACATACGTATCTGGGTGTGATCATACTCACCACCATGCCCGCCTTTAGCATGCCACATCACGACAGCGCCTTGACAATCATTGCTTTCTTCTCCTCTGTCACGTTGATGTCACTGCCCACCACAAGTCTCATGCTGACAGTGAGGTAAGGTGCGCTATACACCCCGAATATCGGCCACAGTGGTTGACTGGAGTCTACATTGTCTAATGTCGACAACACTTTCTTCTCCTTCACATCAATGAAGACAATCTTCTTTCTGGACAACACCGTAGTGTAGTGTTACCCTACATATCCCTTTGTGAGTAGTACAGTCGTGGACGGTCATACAGTAGGCATGGGGACGACGGGCTACAAAGTGAGTCACGTCCATCTCTTCCTCAGCACAGACACCAACCTCCAGGGTGAGATTGCTCCGTGTGAGTGTTTTGTCCAGTCCGACCCTGGTCTCCGTCTCCCAGTACCGAGGGACAATAAGCCAAGGAGGGTGGGGTGGGGGTGGGGGTAGTGCTGCATGTGCCACAGTAGTTCGTCAGTCTCCCTTTCCCTGCAGACCTGGTGTCAGACTTGCTGTTGATCAAGTCCCCCTCTGTGTTGATGTGGGTGCGGTTAAGGTTAATTTTATCTGTGTCATACTTCAGATGTATACCTACAACACATAAACGTGGATTAGATGCTCATGTTGTCAATCACTGGGTTGTCTGAATAATTTCAAAGCGCCGTCACATATCTGGAATATTGCTGAATGCAACGTTAAACAACAAACAAACGAGTAGAAGATAATCTTAAGAACAAAATGATAAAAAACACAACAACGTGAAGGTCAGTTTTGATCACTGATTGTTATGTACAGGCCATAAAACTACCGTATCCCGTGATGGGATTCAAACTATGGACCTTTTGATTGGAAGTCGGATGTCTCGTCCACATGGCCACAGGAAGCTAACAAAGCGAAAATGTCATATGTATATCATTTCACGCCCTGTCACATAAACATCGTATCTACTGAGTGTAACATTCTGACAGAAGGTACAATAAGTGACCAGTCCAGCAAACACTAATCAGGTGTCACCCCAAATATTGCTGTATCCCAAATATAGTCAGCATTGACATCGGGATCAGAATTTGTGTTCAGCAAACTATGCTTGTCGTAAGAGGAAACTAACAGAGTCGGGTGATCAGGCTCGCTTGGTTGCCACATGTCATCGTATTACAATTGCGTAGATGGATGCTCATGCTGTCCATCTCTGGATTGTCTTGTCCAGACTCGAGTATTTGCAGACCGCCGCCATAGTGCTGGAATATTGCCGATTGCGCCGTTAAACAACAAACAAACAAACACGTTGTACGTCGATCATTAGCCAAGCAGTTGTTCCAAAACATTCTACTACAGAATACACTGGGTGGCTAATGTAGCCAAGGCCCCCAAATCACCTCCATGCTGTGACAATAGGTTCGGAGGCTGTAGCGTAAGTTAGATTATGAACGTACACTTCAGCACCATCGACTTGTCCAAGGCGTCTGGTTTCAGAAGGTGAACATCGCATTCATTGATCAGTCCTGCAACATCAACATTGCCATCACTTTGATAAAACAACATATTCATATCTTGTAGTGAATGTCAATAATAAACCCAACACACAGGCCAACATTTTAGTGTTAAAACCTGGACTCAGTTATCTGAACGAAGAAAGTAAAGGAACAAAGGTGACTGGACTTTACCAAGCATGAAATGGGTGGTTTCTGAGGCTCTCTTCACGATGTTTTCGTTCTCATCGATGCTCTGAAAAGATAACCCTTAATCAGACTTAATTGTCTGTAAGTATGTATGTCGGGACATATGGGGAGGTAGGCGATAGGTATGTACAAATATCTAAATATTTTAAACTTAACTCGGAAAAGAACATACAATGTACCGAATATGCCGTATATTTTATCTACTGGCACAGCGTTGTTTCTGGATTGCTTTACAATAGTCTGACAACCTTATAACGGCCTACGATGTGTAGTCACTATAAAAGTGTTATCTATAAATTGTCCCAACTTCGTTGTCAACGAATACCTCCAAAATAACTGAATGAGTGAGTCAGTAAGTTTAGCTTTACACATTTTTTAGCAATATTCCAGCAATATAACGACGGACGACACCAGAAATTGGCTTCACACATTGTGCCCATGTGGGGAATCGAACCCGGATCTTCAGCGTGACCCAAAATAACTGAAGTTACCTTGTACCTCTTTTTAATAAAGTGAATGTTTAAAAAGCATATCAGTCTCAGTTTGTTAATTCTGATATAGCTTGCATGTATTTCGATTTTGGTTTTGTCTCAGTCAATGATCCTCTTCTGTTTTCCGATGTGCTGAATGAATGAATGAATGAATGAATAATTATTCCTTAACACCCGCATCAGCAATATTACAGCTATTCGCGGCGAGCGATGTGCTGTAGACATTAGATAGGTAATTATGGACATGTACTTCTGAAAACGGATTCAGAATGTTTTAGATCGTTGTCTTACATTTTAATTGGTTCTGGTACATTTAATTCTTTGTAGTCATAAATACTATCTCATACGCTCTTCTTTAGCGGTTATGGTGCATTATATTATTTTAATTACCAAACTCACGTTCTTATATTTGATTTCCATCTCAGCTATGAAGTCATGTTCAGTTTGAGTTTCCTTGTCTGAAACAACACCATGATGTAAATACACCCTTAAGAATGAATGAATAATTGGTGCTTTACGCCCCATCAGCGACAATGGGACATCCATACGAAATCTCGACTGTAACATTCCAACATATTATGAGCAAGTGTTACTGTTTATTAAGTGCGTGTTTTTTAAGTATCTAATACAACTCGGCTGGCTAGACAATGGCATAGTGTCAATAACTACCGGTGCTTTAAGTATAATATTAGTTGTCTTTCGAGCAAAAAACTCGAGTTGCTGAGAATGATGTGTCACATGCTATATTTGGGATTACACTTTCTCCGTAAAGTACAAATTCTAGTACTTTTTGTTAGGTTGAGTCCAGCCGTGATTTGAACCAACACTCTCAGAGTCAGGCACCCGATCACATAAAGTCAGCGATCTAACCTACTCAGCCACCGGGGTTTCCATAGAAATGGAAGTCTGACAACTGGTAGACTACATCATGTACTTTGTGTATCCCTCTGACAAATGTGAATTGACACCGCCCACATAGCCGACAGCTATAAATAGACAATGTCAGTTTGAAGGACGTTTCTTAGTAAATTACGGATTCTAGACCCAAAACAGTCATAGAATCTGTAATTTACTGAGAACGTGTAGTCCCAAATACAACATAACACTATAGAACGCTGTTCCATTTCTACACGCAATAAAAAATCAACTCTGATCACTTTCTAAATGGCATTGTGTATCCATAAGAATAGTGCATCTGTAAGCACTATAGAACGCTGTTCCACTCCTACACGCAATAAAAAAGAACGTGCAATCATATCTCATATAAATACCTCTTGCATATTCTTTTTCCATGTCCTTGGTCACGACAGCCCCAAATCGTGATATGTTTGATTTCAGCTTTGACCAGCCGTTGGTGTTAAAGACAGCTGCGGGTATGTCCAGTGTTTGAGTCTCATCAGTGTCAAGGAAAACCCGAGTTACCTCCATCACAGGACTCTCCAACTCCAGGAGGTCTGATTGTGAGGCATACGTTAGAACCTTGGTGACGTAGTCTAAAACCTCAGAGCATTTCTTCGAAGCTTCTTCACATGTGTTTAGCTGAGTACGGAGACTTGTCTTGGCCGCCTTCGTCTGACCTTCAAGATCAGTCAGAAGTTCCTTCTCTCGTTGGTCAAGTTGTGATCGCAGAGTTCTAAAAGTATGGCCAATATTTTCTTTCAATGTGTTGTGCGTTGTATCTGTGATTTCGGTCCCTCGTCTGATATTCTGAATGTTGGACTGTTGGCGAGCTTGTAAGGTTGCCAGCTCAGTTTTGTGTTGGTCCAGCTGTTTGAGGATACTTTCAGCTACCACATCTACCTTCTCAACTTCATGATCTGCGTGATCTTCAAATCTGCATCTTCCACAAATCAAAATGTTGCATCTCCGATCAAAAAGATAAAGAGAGTCAGGGCTGTGGATACTGCAAGGGGTTGGAGAGTTTTGGACAACTGGTATAAAGTCGTGAGGTTTTGAAGTACATGTTTTCTGGTAAGTTTGAAGTTGCTGTGCATATTCTGGCAGTATTCACAGAGGAGCTCTTCACACTCCCGACACCAACACACAGCCTGGTTGCCGTCATCTTCGTGTGTACAGAGAAGCTCTGTGGGGCGATGTTTGGCTGTCAGATGGAATATTTCTTTCTGTCTCACTGCATCCTTCTTGAGCCTTGTATCTGTGAGGTTGACCTCCGTCTGACAAGTAGAGCATGATATCACACCACCAGTTGCAGATGTCACACACGTCTCACACACCGCGTGTACACAGGGCAGTAGGTAGGGGGCGGGACGGAACCTTTGAGGACAAACTGTTGATGACAGACAGAACACTTGGGGAAGATGTCCATTCTGGAAGACAGTAAACTTTAATGAGTGATCTCTGTTATATTTCCCTTTATGGTGAGATAGGTAGTTTGCAAACCAACATATAGTTGGCACCCAAAGAACAGTTAACAGGCATCTCAATGTTTAATTTTACACCGAACGTCAAATCGCTTATGTGACCAAAGGCATTTGGGTCCACAGTAGAATGTTGAAAAAAAGACCATTTTAAAGCCCTTTTTGCCGTTCTCTGCGGTGTTTTTGCAAAGTTTTGTTCGTGCCACACAATCGTAAACACTGGAGTTTTGTAATCTGTAATTATACCTATCCATATATTCAAGTACTCGTGTATAAATATTTGACCTCGAGACAACGCACCCGTAACAGCACCTGTTTTTTTCAAAGGTGGTTATTGTGATTTGCATGCTCCATTCGACAGATTTCTTTCCTATATTTTCCAAATGCACTGACGAATGTACCTTCAAGCCGATATAATATTTTGTAAAAACCTATTTCCTGATCTGTTACCAGACAGTTTAAGCATTTCATATATCCCTAACTTTGCATTGTCTGTTTGTCCATCTATTCAAATAAGACATATCACTGTGTCTTCAACACAATGTCTCGTTGAGTTAGTCTCTGTGAAGAATAACAGCTAGTCCCTGACGTTAACATAATTTCAGTACAAATGCTTCCTAAAAAACATTAATTAAATATAATAA